CTAAAGCCCAGCACCATTTATGATGTCAGAAATGAATAAGGATTAGAACGAACCTCATTGCAGGCGGATTCCAAACGGCACGACTTGCTTCTTCAGCAGATCCAACTGATTATCAGTTCAGGATTAAGTGGGCATCAGAAAGTGTACACGCTTCTTAATAGAAATTAAAAGATGAAGACAGTGCTTTGTTTTTGCTGTTCGGCTGTAGGGGCTTTAAATCAGTCAGTGGTTTTGTCAGCTTTCCACAGTGAAACCTGTAGCAGACTTCGGCCAATAATTATCCAGTGTGAACCAAGCTTAAGAGATGCAAATGTTACAGCAGCTCAAACTAGAATATAATAACTTCAATTAAATGCTCAGTTATGTGAGTTATTTCCTGCTTTATGACCTGCATTGCAGAAAATGTTTTTTTTTTTCTATGTTCTATAATTTAATAAAGTACCTGATGTGTTTTGTAGGCGTTCTGTATGTCGACGTTCTAAATGGCTTTTTTTGATGCAAACCAGAGGAACTTCACCCAAAACATAACACTGCCTTTCCCCAGCCGCTGTCTTCACACTGTAAACTAAACAAGTAAGTTGTGTTCTTTGCATTACAGCTTAAATTGTAATTAATATCCATCCATGTATTATAGGGCATGGCATTTGTAGTGTGTATCTCTACCTGTAGAGGGCAGGACTTCCACAGTTCCTGTTTCAGCCCTTAAAGGTCATTGTTTATGTAGTATTTATTTACTTTATGTCACTGCCTGTAAAGGTCAGTGCTCCTCTAGTTCAGCTCTATGCCTTTAAGAGGCAATATTTTGTACGGTTTATATTTTAGGACCAATTCAAGTCTCAGGAAATGAGTTCTCACATCTTAGGGAAAAACCTTTTCAGGTTTTAGGTCTAACAAAAAACTTCTTGGATCTTAGGAGAAAATTGATCAGGTCTCAGAAGATGACAAAGCTCTTTTTAAATAAATTTACAGAACTTCAAAGAAGCAGATATTTGATTTGAACTAAGACATTTTCACCTAAAAACATCTTCAAGGCTTATTTTGGGTCATAGAAAGAGTAATACATGCATGTTTTAGTCATATTTATTTGCCACTTTTGCCACCACTGTTGTCCGAGCTTGACCATTTCGCTTTGACCCACAATGCATCATGGGAAATGGAGTGATGCTGGATGTTTTAGGCAAGGATGTAGCTTTAATAAATTCAAATACTTGCTCAGTTTTTTCTTAAAACCTGAGAATTAAAAGGTTTTGTACAAAGGATTGAGACCTGTCAACAGTGTTGCCAACTCAGCGACTTTGTTGCTATATTTAGCGACCCCTGCAACAACTCTTTTTCAAAACAGCGACTAGCGACAAATCTAGCGACTTTCCTGGTGTCTGCCATGGGGCGCCTCCCGTGTCCCAACCCTGTTTTCCCGCTTCCGCAGGAGTCCCTCTCAGCGCTGCAGTCAGAGCCACAGCATGTTTACCCTCAGCTTCCAGACTGCAAATGAACCGCTCGCATGTGCAGGGATTGACAGCACAGGTTGATCACGCTGAAGTCAGCTCCCTCAGTTGCTGAACCTGCCATAGAGAGCCTTGACCAATATGATGAGGACCCACTCAAGCACAGCCTGCGTGTGTGGAGGGAAATCTTATTGGTTTGAAAAAAAATTAACAATAATTACCATTATTGGCTCACATTGTCATTGATTCTTTGTAGCCTTTTTTTGTTCCATTAAGATTGTTAATTGTTGTTGTTCAAAATGTTAATGTTTTGCCATGCTTTTTAAGCTCCTTAGTGGAGCACAAGGGGAAAAAAGTAAAAAAAAAGTTTAAAAAATATATATTATGCAAATTAGGCAATGACGTCATTCAGCGACTTCTAGCGACTTACAGCACAGCCAATAGCTACTTTCCTCACAGAGGAGTTGGCAACACTGCCTGTCAACCTTTTCTTTTTAAGACATGTTAACTGAGTTCCTGAGACCTGCAGTTGTCCTAAAATGTACACCCCAGTTTTGATGGTTTCTATCTTACAAGTACAGCTAAATTGTTTGTAGTTCCTCTTTCTTTCAGGTGAGGGCAGTCACTGTTATTTTTATCTCTACCTGTAGAGGTCAGTGTTTCTGTAGTTTAGCTTTCTGCCTGTAGATGGGGATGTTTTTATTACCAATCGGTTTTACACTCTGTCTATTGAAGGCTGAGCAATGTTTTCAAATTTTTCATGTGTCTGGGCATACACACCAGCTACCTGCGTACACTGATATTACACCCGTTACAAACCCAGGAGCATAGATGGTTACATGGCTTATTAAAATAATGAGATTACAGCAGCAATTTCCAATGGTTTACTTTTAATATAAATGATTTGGCCATCTAAAGCTTTGACCAGGGAGTGGAGTAAAATCACTTGCAATACATATTGCTGCATATCAGGTAGGTTGTATCAGGTCATGTTAGGTGGGTCTAATCCAGCTTTTATTGCTAACTGCAGTGTGTGCTTTACTAAACCCGTAGAATAGGCAAATAAGAGACCGGGTTTATTGTACTAATATAGTACACCGCCATGCAGGCGTGCGCACACCTGTGTGTGTGTAATTAAGTCAGTTTTTTGGTAAATGCCCTACGGCAGAGATTTTCTACCATGTGTGAGCAGTGTGCGATTTTGCAAAAGCTCAGAATACCAAAAATCGTAGCGCCTAGCAGCTGTGTCTAGCTCCTATTTGTTAACCTTTCTTGGGGTTAAGATCCAAGACAGTATCCTAAATAGGTAAGTCTTACTCCAAACAGCTTTCAACCTTAAAAACATCATCACATGATGGAAACATATAATAATACTAGACGATTTGCTTTCCATTTTGATTCAGATGGACCATTTGTCTTTGTAGATAGTTCCCACATGACTGATGCTTGGTTTTCTATTGTTGGGTTCAAGAGAGTCAAAAAAGATGTGATAAAACAGTAAAAAGAGGTTTTCATTAAATCCAGAGATTCAGAAAAAGTGCAGTTAGACAAACTTTGCTACTAAGCATCGAGTGAGGCTGACTAATACTCAGAGGACACAGAAGCTGTCTGATATGGAACAGATTTGTGATCGATTTTTTTATTAGCATAAAGGACATTGTCAAATATTTCAACAAAATCTGTGTAGCTTTCAAATCTACATCCATGTTAACTATGGAGAGTAGAAGAGAAACGTCTTATTACATTTAAATGCAGAAATTTCTGTTAAAGTCATGTAAAAAGGTCCATATAAATTAGATTTATATTCATCCAGGTTTTAGATTAGAAACAAAGGGCATAGAAGCATACTGTAGAAGCAAATATCAGTTACTTTCATGGAAAAACAATATGGGTTACTGTCCTTGTGTTTTGCACTTGTCCACCTCCAATTAACCTATTACAATAACAGTTGTCTTTGCTTTGGACTTTTTTTTAAGGACAGATGATCTAATGGGTCTCTGTAACACACTCCAGCACTTGACAAAGCTACGGCTCATGAAAATCTTTGTCAGCTACTCATAATGCTGTTCCTGAGTAACACCACTCACTGCTATACTATAATAAAGGCACTCAGACTTAGTAATTCCTTACGTAGTGTTTCTGTATTTCCTGTCTATACCTGTAAATGTTGATGTTTTTGTAATTCGTTATCATGTCTGGCCAAAGATGTCAGTTTTTTGCAATGCCTCACTCAGTCTGTTTGAGGCAGTGTTTCTTTTTTCCACATAATGAGGTCAGTATATCTACGTTTCAGCTCTCTGCCCCTAGAGGGTGGTGTTTTCCAGTCCTTTCAGGTGACCCCATGGCCTCAGTTCACAGGAATTCAAAGGAAATATGTCTACAACACCTTTATTGTAATATGTCCACATGTCTATTTACATAAACCCTCCGTGTCCTCATGCAAAAAGAAGATTGCACTAGTTACCTCTCTTCCACAGCTCTGTTAGGATCTCTATTCTAATGCTTCATCATTCACTTTATGCCAGGAGACTTTGACAGCACCATCGTTCGTGTTTCCATGGAAACAGTGGCCTCTGCCTGGGAACATGGCCCCTCAAACCTTTGTGACTTTGATGAGAGCAGGAAGATGCTGTGGGGTGAGTCAAACATTGAATGTTACTATTTCGTGGTCTGGACCTGATCCCACCATGCAGCTGAATCTCAGCTCTAATTCAGGCCCATGGTGGCACTGGAAAACCAACTCTCATAATCTAGCTCTGTTAATTCAGCCTTTATTGTGAAAGGTCATGAACAGGTCTGTACTCTACTGACAGAATTTTAGCCATCACTGGAGAAATAAAGGCTTAATTCAGCTTTAAAGGAATCTGTGTACCACAGTTTACTTGTGAGACAGAGGTATTTCACATCAGCAATCATCTTTTTTTTCCCCCACTTATAAGTGAAAAAGTAAAGATAGGGATCTGTAACATTTGACATATCAGTTGGAAATTAAATATTTGAATCCCATCTGAATCAGGAATCGGGGATTTGACAGACCAAATCCTGACAAACATTTAAACTTCTGTTTGATCTTCAGATTAGCTCATAAGCCGAACATGGAGACCTTTATGGATTGAGTTTTAATGTCTGAGCAGCAGCATCCAAGGAATACCTCACCAGCGTGTGGCTTGGAGCCCATCACTAATGGACTATACAGCAGGGGAGCAGTGTTCTTTTAAGTGATGAATTGCTCTTCTCCATCTGGTTATCAGACAGTATGGTTCCTAGGAGAACCATACTGTCTGACTGTACTGTGCCATGTGTAAAGTATGGTGGAGGAAGTATTATGCTGTTGGCCATATTTCGGGAACAGGAGTTGGTCCCTTATTTCCAAGGAGAGAAACTTTGATTGACTTAACCGATCAACAGTTGTTTTGCCCCTGACTGTGTAGGAATAGTTTGGAGATGGTTCCTCCCTCTACCAACAGGACTGAGCTCTAGGCAACAAAGTCAGGTCCACCAATAGAATCCAATAGAATATGTTTGGCATTAATTAGACTGGGTTTCCACACCATTTCCTCAAGTTCCGGGTACCAAGTGTCCATTTACCCTTTACTTCATGCTACAGTTTGAAGTATCATCTGTAGCTACATTTACATGAACATAAGTAACTGGAGTAAAGAGCCAGCCAGACTAAAAATGCACCATGTGAACATGGCAGCTGGAAGATTCTGAACTCATTTGACAGCTTATACTAGCAAAAGTTCCAATCTGCATGCATGCATGTAATAACCATGGATATACTGCTGTGGCAGTATATTCCAACATGCATGTTTACATGACACATTTCCACCCCCATTGTCCATTTTTGTGTGATTTCTTATGCCAGTAGAAATGGTACAATCTGATTATTTTAAATTTTCAGTTGGATCAGGAACGTTGGTGCATGTGGTACTATCCAATAAGCAATTTTTGTAAGATGTAAATTCAATAAAAAAAAAGTCACTTGCCTAGAATTTGCTGGATCAGAATTAATTAATTTATTAGAAAGAAAACACTCTTATTAATTGTGTTAATAGTGCTTAGAGTCACAGTAATGTTAAGTGATAGCTAAATTAGGCTTTGCTGGGGCCTATGAAGACAGAATTCTGCCAAAGTGCCCACACATAATAAACACTCTTACGAGCAGTTTTATTTAAAACGCAGGCACATAAACTAAACTCCACATGCATTTTGAACATTTAATGCTTGCAGATTTAATACCATAAGGCCCCCGAAATGTCACAAGCAGGCGTACATGCTGCTTCTCTGCGCTCTCTTGGGTTTTAATTGACTGTAGATTCTCTACTAGCTGTGCGTCGATCCGTTTCTGTGCACTAATGACACCATTTGTCAGTTTGTGGGTGGAACCAACCTGAGAAAGTAACTGGCTGGTATTGCCTAATTTTGAGGAAATTGTTTCAGACAGTACCATTATCTTCTTGATTGCTGCTGGAAATGATAGTAAAGCATCTTTAGGCTAATCGCTGTTCTCTTATAGAGATAAAAACTGATTAAGCGAAGTCATCATTAAATAATTAAGCTTAACACAGTCAGGCATGTGTTCTGATAGCAGTAGCAATATGCTATAAAAAAGATTTGGGACTTTTTATAAGTGTCATGAGTGGTTTAAATGATCTGACCCACATGCAGAGAACCACTCAGAGACCAAGGAAAAAAGTTTAACAGGTTTATTAAATGTAGATGAAATACAGAAGTTGGATCTGGAACTCACTGGACTGGTGAACCAGAACTGGAAAGTCTGAAGGGGAGATCGCAGTGATCAGTTCAGGGACAGAAGGAAATTTGACTGAGGATTGAATAATACTGGAGAGGGACTCACGTTCGAGGGGGCTCTTGTCCTCCTTGAATCCAGCTTGTGGGGGGGTTAATCCAGAGAAGAGGGAACTCTTCTTTTTTTGACTGTATGATCTGGTTGAACTGTAAAGTGCCTTGAGATGACATGTGTTGTGAATTTGGCGCTATATAAATAAACTGAATTGAATTGAATTGAATTGAACTCTTTGGAGGGCGGACAGATAGACAAGCGTTGGACCCAGAGGAGTAAAGGAGCGGACTGTCACTTGGATTTCCGATGAGGACTTGAACAGATTATGTGGAGGTTTTCCCCTGCTCAGTGTGTACTCAGTTAATCCTTCCAGGGGGAGAAGGTCCAGGTATCCAGTTACTCAGGAAGGCTTCCTGCCGAAGAGCAAGGACAAAAACTAGATAAGACTCAGAGAAACAAAGCTTAGGTTAGACTCTGCTAATCTCAGCTTGGGTAGAGTACCCAAAACTGGCTAACACTCTGGCGTTGAGGTAGTGACAGCCCACTGCTCAAATACTCCTCCAGTAATGATCCAACGAGCCGCAGGTGTGCAGGGAAGCCCAACGAAGACAGGGCACCACCTGGTGGTGGAGAGAGAAAAACACACAAACAACCCACACAAACTGGATTCCTAACAATAAGCTAACCTAAATTCAGTGTAAATGTTTATATAAAACAAAATGAGACAAATAAACTCTCATAGCTGAACACAAAACTTAACATTTATAAACAGTTTGCGGCCGCTGTAAAGGTATGTTTGCGCCATATGTTTAACAGAGGTAGCGAAGGTAGTGAATGTAATGAAGTGAATGGCACTGTTTTGGTGAATTTGGCAAAATGACATTACTTTCGAGCCTGCAAAGTAAGTAAACTGAAATTCACAGGAGTACAAAAACTGAACTTTTCTTTATATTTCCATCACAAAATTCAATCACATTTAGCTCTTGAAGAACTGTTTCGCCATCCTTCCTCCAGTGCAGACTCAGGCCAGCCGCTGCCTCTCCACCACTCTGCTGCTCTGTGTGCCCGGCAGACTTCTCCCATGTACTGCTGTCTCCCTTCCTTCTCCCACAGTTAGCTTCTATAGAAGCTATAGAGGCTAACTCCCCACGTTGTCTCCCTGGCAGACTTCTCTGATGTACTCCTCCAGGCCAGCCTTAGCCTCTCCGCCAGCGCTCTGTCTCCATGGCGGACTCATCAGATCTACCCCTGTGCTCCAACGATTATCCAAAGTTAGCCTCTATAGCTAACCCTAGCCAGCCACAGGCTGTGTTTGCTCTGGCGCTGTTTCCAAGACAGGCTACTCCAATCTACCGCTGTCCTCTTCCCATCCCGGCTGGCTGTCTCATCCCGGTTCTCGTGTTCTTACAGCTGTTATTTTTGCACCGATTTCCCGCTGCCCGTGTCTGAGCTCCAGAACGCTGTCTCACCTTAGCTCTGTTGTCAGGGTGATTAATCCTCTCCAATGCAGGAAAGCTGGCCTGAGACACAGATAGGTAGAAATAGCGCTGAAAGCAACCGTCATCCAGACATAGCTTCTGGTGAACCCATGGAAACAGACAGCTTTGTTTGACTATGAAAAGTAAAAGTAGTATGAGTTGCTCCATAGAATCCTAGTCCACAGAGTTGAGGTGAAACCAAAATCCAGCAAACTTGATTATACAGTGGAGCCTTTCACCTGCCATGCAAATTTGCTTGCTGTGCAAATTGCTTTTGCTGCCCGGGAACATCTCAAGACGAGCAAGAGCAGACGAAAATGACGAAATTTTGAGTTTGAGTTTGGTGTAAATGTAGCATAAAGCATTTTTTTTATTTTGTGTCCTGCATTGTTTTTTTTTTTTTTTTTATAAAATTGTCAGATGACAGAGATGGATGTTGGATATGAATTAAGAATTATACTGTTGAAGAGAACAGCTATTAGTTTAATTAGCTAACATTACCAGCCAAAACTAGAATTATATATCTAAGATTACTGACAAACAGCTGAAACTCAGGAGGTTTCAGGTTTGTCGTTAATTAAACAACATGTGGCCATATTTGATGACGGCCGCTCACACTGAGCCTAGTTATGCTGGAGGTTTCTTCCTGTTAAAAGGGAGTTTTTCCTCTCCACTGTCGCTACAAGTATTCTTAGTATGAGGGATTGTCTTTAAGTCAATGAGTCGATTCAATGGTTTTTCCTTAGATAGAAAACTTTGAATCAATTTGACTCTATGATCTGGTTGAACTGTAAAGTGCCTTGAGATGACGTGTGTTGTGAATTGGCGCTATAGAAATAAACTAAATTGAATTGAATGTTCAGCCAATAATTAGTAAAACCTGCAGACTCTAAAAAATGTGTTTGATGCTATAGTGTTCTGCGAACGATGTTAAGAGATAGTCTTCCAAACTGGATGAATGATCACAGAGATGTTGATGATCATATTGTTTCCTTTGTCGTTCTTTTAGAATCTTATTGTGTTGTCACTCCTCCTGCTGGTCTAACGTGGACACAGCAGCTCTCTCCTCACATCCAGAGGAACAAACAGGTAACAAAAGTTCCTCAGTTCTAACATTAATTTTTATACAGATTTTAGTACTTATCCTCATTGAGTTAAATCAGTAAACATATTTGTATGTTTGTATGCAGAAAATGCAGGATTTAAATTGTTTTGTAGTGTGGTTAAGCACTCATCATATTTGCTTCCAGCTCCAGGACACTTTGCTGCAGAGGGAGGAGGAGCTGGTCAGGCTGCAGGAGGAGAACAAGAAACTCAGAGGATTCCTCAATTCCTCTTTTGTGAGGAACCTGCAGGAAAAAGCTAAGGTGAGAGCACCAAATTCAGCTGCAAAAAAGGGATTGAACTAGATCCAGACTGGTATCAAAGGAAACATAAATAATTTTGAGAGGCTTTTGGAGGTTTTGATTCCTCGTCTACATGTGTTCTGCAAATCTTAAGCAGGGATGTGATCATGTCTCATCGGGCATGCTGATCTGGGTTCTGCAGGAGAATTGGATAGAAGTGTTGCTTGTAAGGGCTCTCGTTCTAAATTGATGTCGACAGGGGAATGTTTGGGGGAGTATGGGGGCTTCATATTCACAACAGGCAATGGAGACTCAAGAGATAAGGTTGGGTCGGTGGTTTGAGCTTCATTGTCTCAGTTTTTGAGTCATTAGGGAAGAAACGTTGACCACCTTGCTTGCTGTCGTTGGTCAGATGACCATGTGGCACCAATATATATGTCAGCCAGCCCCATGGCAGCTGTGGCTACAGTGAAAGTCACCACCATCGGCTTGTAAATGACGGCATGTAGTCTAAAACACTTTGTAGTTCTTGGACTTGATAAATTGGTGGATATATACAAATCATTCACATTTATATGTGCTTTTTGCAGATTATGAAGTTCAGTTCAGTTTATTCATATAGCGCCAATTCACCAAATACATCACAGGGCACTTTATAGAGACAATATCATGAGATCAGTCAGCAAGACTGGTTGAAAGTCATTGATTTTGCAGGATTACCTCCTTCTGGAGCATGTGGTGACAGCTGACATTCTTTTGCATTATGCAAAAGAATAGCATGCATGCAGCAACAGTGGAAAGGAAAGCTCCATTGTAACAGGAAGAAAGGATCCATGTAAATGGCCTTCTACCAAGGCTGACTGGGGGCTCATGTAGACAGAAGCAGACATGGAAAATAATCAGAAGCACTGATCCATAAATGCTTAATATGTTAAGCCGGGCATACACTGTGCCAGTTTTTTTTAAGCGTTGCACACAGCTACAGCTCACACTGTACAACGAAACCACAGAGTTTTGAAATACAGTGTGAGTTCACAGCTCACAATGTATGTTCTCACACTGATGTGATCTACCTGCTCACACTGTACATCTAAAACCCTAAAAGACCCTCAGCTCCGCAGTGAGATGGCTACTCAGACTAGTCTATCCGGAAGCCAAACAAGTAGAAGAGGAATATGAAGCTCACTAGAGTGAAACGCGCTGCCTTGGCAATTTGTGCAATTTGGTGCTGACAGCCCTAAAAAGAAAAGGTGATGACGTATTTGGACAAAGACATGGCTGAGCAAACGTGGCTGAAAGAACTCAATTTCACTCGTACCCCGCCTTGCAGCTGTGTTTTCATATGAGAGGAAGAAGAAGAATCATTGTTTGCACATGCCCACTGAGTGATTTGCCAACGACGGCCGACTGAATTTCAGACATGTTTTTAAACTGCACGATCAGGCTGACAGTCGGCCCGATAGAAAAATTCTTGCACGACTGGAAAGTCAGCACTAAAAGGGCAAAAAAATCGCACAGTGTAAGCCTGACTTTATAAAAAATAGTGGTAAAGTATTTCCATAGGTGGTTCAGGTCTAAGAAAGAAACAGTTAAGTAGATGATCTATGAGCTGGTTTTCATGTCACAAAGGATAAAAGAGAGCAAATACAGTTAGTCATGCTAAAAGGTGATCCCAACAACATATCTGAGAGAAACGAGACTAAATACTGAAAAACAGGCTAACTTTATCATCTACAATCAAAGGTGTTGAGTGCAGCTGTCCAGATGATATCTCTGGGTCACAGCAAAACAGGAACAGACCAGAGGAAGCTACCATGATGACACAGCAGGGATAACACATAGATAGGAAAGGAACAAACAAAGAATGGAGAATATTAGTAAAATGAAGAAGAATGTCCTCCAGCAGTCTAAGTCTATGGCAGCAAAACTATAGAGACAGCTGACTATAACACGAGCTGGTCTAACTATAAGCTTTATCAAAATGGAAAGTTTTAAGCCTACCCTTAAAAATAGACAGGATGTCTGCCTCATAGACTAAAACTACGGTAGTAGTTCTTGTTCCAAGCACATAAGAAGTTAACTGCTATAAGCAAATGGACTCAAAATAAGCTCTCGTCATAATTATCAACCATGAAAAGTTTTTTTTTCTGTCTTTGGGTGTTCATAGTAGTGGTAGGATGGAAAAGGAAATGTACTGACCATTGCTTCACCTGCAGTAATGCTGGCTTTGCCTCAGACTGCCCTGGTGAAGAAAGAGCTCAGGTAAAGGCAGTGCTTAATTCCTTAGTTAAATTCCCCCCCTGTTCTGACAAGTGCCAAAAATCCATGGATGATGAGAGATCTTGAGGTACCATCATAGGTTAAAGGGATGTAAGGGTTTCTCTCATGGCCCTGTGATCCTGTCAACCCAACTTGGATTGATGAAAAAAGGCCTCCATAAGGACAATCTGCTTTAGTGCCATCAGACATGTCTGTTATGTCGTATTAAAAAACCTTCAGCTGAAATTCCTTCTGTAATCATCAATCAGGTAAGTTAATTATTCCTGCTGGCATCCATGTCCAAACTGCCTAATAGCAAAGCAAGAGGAGACCTCCGAGCACTGAGGTAGAGGTAGACCCTATAGGATGATGGTCGTGAGCGTGTGTTCAGTTGGTAGCAAAGAATGGTTGCAACTAAAGTTTAAACTGAAAGGCAGGGGAGCACCCTGCAAAAACCAGGTAGCAGGAATCAATGCCTCATCTGGTATCTTCTTTTGGTTAACAATAAAGACTTCTGCTTTACAGATGGTCGGTAACTCAGGATTCGGAACCTTTGCTAACTTCCTTTGGATGAACAATCTTCTTGGTGCTCCACATGAACTAATTTGAGGGCCTCTGTGAACCTTTAGGCCTATTTAGAACAATACAAAAGACCTTGTTTGTTAAAACACTATAGCAAAAACACAACCTCTGAATCTCCCTATTTATACAGTCTAACTGCATGTCTCCTAAATGTGGGAATAGATTACTTTAATTAGAAAGAAAAAAGCCTCACAAAGATTTTGCTCTACTGAACCTCTAGTGAGACTTAAATAAAGACATGTGGTCCACTGAAGGCCAAAGGAAAAACATCGGATTTTTTTAACCTACATTATAATATTGGTTGATCAATCATGTCTTGTATCCTCGACTTGCCTTAAACACCCTCAAAATATCTTCCCTGTCTCGATCCCTGAAAATAATTCAGTAAGGATTTGTTGGAGCAGAATGGACTGTGCTTCTATGTTTTGTCTGAATCCGTCTCTCCTCTTTCCTCCACCACAGAAACTAACCGCAGACAGGAGAAGAAAGCTGAAAAGGAACCTGAAGAACTCTGTTCACGAACTATCCCAAACCTGCAGTCATTCCTTCTCCCAACAGATCACCAGGAGACTCTGCAGAAACCTGACAGCTGAGTTCTGCTCCGAGTCCTCCGAGGGGCCAGCTTGTTCAGAACCAAACCTTGATCTGTGGGTCCTGCGAACGTTAGGCTTGAAGGACAGAAACACCATAGATACTTCAGGTGAATCCCCATCTGAATACAACTTCAGAAATCTGGTTTATGATGATGGCATCAACTCAACGCTGCCTGCAGAACACACACCCAGCTTCACTTTCAACTCCCCAGTGCCCTTGTCTACACTGCCCTCTGTCCAAAGTTACTGCCAAACTCTTGCAGGGGAGACGGACTATAGATCGTCTGAACCTGGCTATGCTGCCATGCCAACTCAGACCTGTTCAGGATCTCCAGAAAACTTCACTGCCCCTGTGCTGACTGAATTTCAGCCAGACAGACCTGAGACCTGCTGTATCAGTGGATCCCAACCGCTGCAGACAAGCTCTAGAATGATCTCTTCCAACTGGTTTCCACATCCAGACTACTGGACTCCATCCGACCCTGACTTTGTCTCTTTCGACTCATCCTCCAGCTCAGTACTCTGCGAATCTCAGCTGCCTTCTAGTGATTTCAGCCCCACAATTCAGCCAGATATATCTCAGCCCTCCAAACCTCCTCAGACACATCACAAAGGAACTGATTTGGCTTTCAGCATGTCCCTCAGCCCGTCCAGTAGTGTGAAGACTCACAGCTTCCCCCAGGGACAAGCCTTTATCAGGAAGGACCCAGGGGGTCGGTGGAACTTTACCTGGGTTCCTCGACAGGAACCGTGACAAACCTAAAGATTTCTCATCAAATAATGTAGAAAACTCCAGTTTTAACCTGTTGATTGTATTCCTAACAGGCCCATAAGTGTGATCCATCCTGGTGACTGAAATGTACAAAGTACAGTAGTTTATTAATTCTGCTTGTTGATTAAGGAAAACCTGGACCAGGAATTATAAAATGAACAGGAACAGGAATGAAACATGCTTCAGGTATTTTGACGAATCTCTGCAGATTCTATAAAATAATTAGAAGTAACCATAATCAGTCTAACTGTGACCGCAATAAGGGAGTTTGGTCTTAAAACCTCTAGTCAGAGAAAAAAAAAAAACTAATTGCCAGAAATGTAGTCTCAATGCTGATGTTTTCTTTTTATTTCACTTTGTTAAACTGCCAGTTTGTGTCCTTATAAACCTGTGAGCCAAAACAAGTAAAATTAGGAAGGAAAATAAACTGAGGAATATAATAAAAAACGTGAAGAAAATAAACCTGCAAAGATTCAAGAAGTGTTAAACCCAACGTTTTCCAGTTTTGTCTCCTCTGCTTTTTTTTAAACCTGTAAACAACCATTTAATCCTTAAAAGCCATGAAAATTCATTATGTGCAGTTTTGCTTGATTTATTTAGCAGCTTTATATATTTTCTATCCAGCAGCTGAACCCTTCTCATCCTCAGCATTGCTGAGAAGGCAGAAATAAAAGCTTTCAGATTCACAAAACCTCAATAAATAACCATATTGAATCACAGAAGACAAGTTTAACACCTTAATAATAGCCCCACAGAGATACAAAAAGGTTAATAAAATTTATAGATATACCCAGACCTTTCCTACCAATGAAAATATTAGGACAATGTTTACAGGTCGTTAACTTTTTTTTTTTTTTTTTTTTAACTTTGAATATAATTTTTTCAAAAATATTCACAGACGTTTATCTTGCAATAATCTGTGTTGATTTGTGAATAAATGAGCCATAAATGCTAAACCCGACTGCCAATGAAATTGGTTTCTGTTATGCGACTCTGTCTCTTAAAGGTGCTTACATTCTTCCTCTCTGTGAATAAATCTGACGATTTCTACTGTTTTATACTTGATTTATGACAGTTTTTATACAATGTTTTATGACTGAACAAATAAATTCTGTTTCAAGATGAAATGTGTTCTGTTTTTTTTAAGGTTTTACTGCACAATGCCCTGTTTAATGTTTATCAAATACCTGGATACATGCTGTAAAAATGGAAACTTTTAAAGGTTTTGAGGCCTTGTGAAATGGGTGGAGAATTAAAAAGATTTTTTCAGCATTTGGCGTGCTTCTATCTCCATCCAGGAACACTGGATCAGTGCTGAAGGTCTAATCCAGTTGGTGTTGTTATAGAAACTAGCCTTGTTCCTTATTATAATAAAGAGTAGGGGTAAAATTTGCCATGTCAGAGTGAGGACTACACAGGGCAGTTAGCCCTAAAACTAACATCAGTTCATTTAAGACCTGAACCTAGCCTTAAATCTTATGTTGGACTTAAACTCACCTGATTTACCTTACCTATTTACCCACACTATTTGTTTTATAATTAATTAATGGTCCATTTACTTTTTATAAATGATGGTTATAGTTTAGTTTTGTTTCTTTTAATTAACTTTTACAGAACTTTTATAAAATACTCTGAACTCAAAGGTGTGCTAACTCTCATAGTGAAGCCGCCCCAATAATTCCTGGTGTCCCTCAAGGTTCTTTATTCAGACATCTTTTTTTTGTTTGTTTGTTTGTTTGTTTGTTTCTTTCGTTCTAAAAAAATGTTCCAACAAAAACGTATTTAGAAAAGTAGCAAAAGGAAGGATAAACTTATAATATTTACCCCTATTCACAAAGAAATGGAAATCATCAAACAGAGGTCCATTGCAAACACACAAAGAAAATCTAATCAAATCTGAGGTAGCCATAGAATCTGAACCGGGTTTAATTAAATTTTAATTCAGTTCCGTTTATTTCTAAAGCGCCAATTAACAACACATGTCATCTCAAGGCACTTTACAGTTCACCAGATCATATAGTCAAATTGATTAAAAGTTTTCTATCTAAGGAAAATCAGTTGA